GGCTGATGTAAGTCAGTTTATAGTTGACGTCGATATTCTCGTCTTCAACCCCCGCATTGACGCGGGGTTGAGGAATCGCAATCTATGGACAGTATCAAGTGCAAATATTCACGATCGATGAGTCACGCCGTCTAAACAAGCCGTGTTCTGTTGATCGGCGATCTTACAAGATAACTGTTGCTCAGAGTCTTCCTAAAGCTGTCTAGTATTGAACAACGGGCCGTATCTCCGGATATGCAAAGTGAAATGCATCTCTCCACAAACCGCCTTGGACATGATTGGATTGGATTGAATCTTGTAGTTGCCCCGCCATAGCTCTGAGGGGTCGGAGCTCATCAAGATACGTAACGTCACTTGAGCTGTTGACTCTGAGAATACTTATCAACCTCCTCTTTTCAACATCTTGGTCATTTGCATGACATATCAGCTTCATCGCTAATTAGCTGTAATTATGGCTCCCTACACTGCTAAATGGGGTATCTTGGCCACTGGTGGCATCGCTGAGTGTGAGTTCAGCACTGTAACACGATGGACAAGGCACTAAAGCTCCCATCATAGGCTTCACAAAGGATATTCTTACAGATCCTGCCGCTCGCGACGTCAACGATGTACAACATGAGATTGTCGCCGTTGCCTCATCCAGCTCCGTCGACCGCGCACGCGACTTTATCAAGAAGATTGATGGCCCCTCATCCGCCGCTGTCTACGGCTCGTATGCTGAGCTAGTCGCCGACCCAAACGTTGACATCATCTATGTTGCTACACCTCATAGCCACCACTTCCAGAATGCTATGCTGGCCCTTGAGGCTGGCAAGAATGTTCTCTGCGAAAAGGCACTCACCGTTACTGCTGTACAGACCAAGAAGCTGTACGAGGTCGCCAAGTCCAAGAATCTCTTCTTTATGGAGGCTGTCTGGACACGATACTTCCCTCTCAGTATCAAGATTCGAGAGTTGATTCAGTCTGGTGCCATTGGCACTGTTTATCGTACATTCGGTAAGAAGAATGCCTGTCGAGGTTAGACGATAAAGCTGACCCCTCCTATAGCCGACCTCTCGTTCAACAAGAATACCGATAGCCAAGATCTTGACTTTCCTGACTCCAACCGCATGGTCAATCCTGATCTTGCAGGCGGTGCTTTACTCGATCTCGGCATCTACTCCTTGACCTGGGTCTTCCAATCTCTCTATCACGTTCAGCCTGAGACCGAAAAGGAGGCCCCAAAGGTTGTGGCCTCCATCAACAAGTATCGCACAGGTGCCGACGAGTCCACGAGTATCATTTGTCAGTTCCCTAAGCACAACTCTGTCGGTATTGCGACTACCTCGCTGCGTATCGCCACCGACGTCGACGGTCTCTACACTGGTGGCCCCGCGATCCGTATCCAGGGCTCTCAGGGGGAAATCCAGGTTACTGGTCCTGCGTTCCGGCCGACCGAGTACAAGGTGATCAAGTCGGACGCCAATGGTAAGGTGGAAGTAGTGAATTGCCCAATTCCCACAGATCCTAAGCGCAACAACTGGGGCCACGGTATGTTCTGGGAGGCGGATGAGTGTGCACGTTGCCTACGGGATGGCAAAAAGGAGAGTGCTTCAATGCCTTGGTCAGAGAGTATAGTCATCATGGAGGTCATGGACAGCGCACTCAAGCAGGGCGGCGTGTCCTACCCCGATCTCATCACCACTGATGTCTTCGACCCCAACAGTCCTCTCAATACTGGCAAAAAATGAAGATATGACATGTAATGTTGGGCATAATACTAGAATTTATGATGGAATAAAAGTTCGAGGATATGCAGGGAAAATCACAGCATTGAACTGTACCACGCACCTGCGTCAATGCGTCGAGTAACATGTGAACTCTCACCACTTGCATAAGATGCGTACTACATGCATCGTCGGAGATCACCATCCTGGCGCTACAGGCGGGTGCTTGAGATTAACGGTTCGTGTCAAAAGTGACATGACAAGGAAAGGTCATTGGGTTTCAAAAGCAACCACCAACATCTGACGAGTCTGCCTTGACCGGATGACAAGGAACAATAAAGCAAGAGAGGAAAATTGGCGCCTGGTGGATTTATTCCCCTCCATGTTGCATTGGCCCCTGGTGCACATCTCATCCAGGCCAAGACACCAATTTACACGTTTCTCTCCTGAAGCACAAGTTCGAGACTCGAGTCTCAGCTTATGATGACGTGCAGCGTACCTTTGAAGCGAGCGGGAGCACCCATGCCCACAGCTCACAACCCCTGGCATGAACGGCTTATTATCAATCGTTGAAGATTATCCCAGCCATGCATGCCCAACTTGACACGGGAGGGGGTACAGAAGATGCCCGAAATGTGTTCCATAAGCAAGGCACGGACTTGTTGGTTCCTAATGACCGAGTGGCGGAAGACTCGCGTCGTGTGAATGGGGTGATGAGATGTGAAAGCGAGTGATGAGAGAGATGAGATTGTGGGGTCCACGATATAAAGACACCGTTGGAACAAGGTATCTTACTTATCCTTACATAGGTACCCTGAAAAGAAGCTTTGAGGCCTGGAGGCGGATCCGAGGTGTTCGTGACAAGGGGCCTCAAAATCTAACAGGGGATATAAGAGAGGTGTTTTTTCATGTACTTCATATGTAATTTAAACCTGATCGCGACACTTCAATCCTTGACGCAACCAACTGACTGCATTGTATTTTATAGTGTCAGAATCATCAACTTGGCACTCAGCCACCAATATACCGCACTCGCACGGGGCAATGGTTGGTTTGGTCTCACTGCTAACCTAGCAAATTAATAAGCCTGGTACCTACGGAGTAGAGTTACTTGAATCATCAGAGACATTTATTTGTAGGAGCCATTATTCATGACTGATGACGGTTGTATGGTAGTAATGGGGTGAATATGTTCCTTCAAGCCACAAGACGACGCTGGAGCCCCAAAACATGACTCCACTAAATAGTACTACTGTGTGATGGTAGGTACCTGAGGTGAGGTAGATAATCGCAGACCACACACACTACTAAATTACCCCAGTTGAGCCCAGCCCAACACAACCCAGACCAGGGCATCCACTCACTATTCGGACATTGAAGAAATTAGTTAGCATCACAAGAAACGTAAACAACCAACTCAATCATAACCTCATCTCTCAACGCTCAGACGCAACAACTTCACACCCCCTCCCTCGTCCTCTAGGCCATCTCAGATACATCCGAGAGACAAGGAAGATTATACTCCACAAGGCGCCCTGTAGGTAGAGAACCTGCACGGAACCTTTCATCGTCTTCATCATGGCAAGTGCTTCATCGGCCACGCCGGCTGGAGATCAAGAGGACAGGCCACCCAGCTCCCAGGCACAAACCAACCAGACATTGGCCCCCACAAACTCAGAGTCCTTCTCGCAATCTGCAGCGGAAGAGGCGCCAGAGACGTACGAGGCCACCCACGTTCACGCAGTCTACGAGGCCATCGCACCGCACTTCTCGGCCACCCGCCATAAGCCTTGGCCTCGGGTTGCCAGCTTCTTGCTATCTCAACCGCCTGGTAGTCTCGGTCTCGACGTGGGATGCGGCAACGGCAAGTATCTGCGTGTCAACCCGTCTGTCCACCTGCTTGGCTCCGATCGGAGTCCAGCTCTCGTCCAGCTCGCCCGGACTGAGCTGAGACGGCCTCGGGAAGACGGTGTCGAGCATGATCCTAGAGTATCTGATGTAGATGTTGCTGTCGCCGATGGCTTCGCGCTTCCATACCGCAATGGAGCTGCTGACTTTGTTATCTGCATCGCTGTTGTGCACCATATGTCGACACGCGAGAGAAGACAAGCCGCAATTGCTGAGTTACTGGCACTCGTAACTCCCAAAGCCGGCCGTGTGCTCGTCTATGTGTGGGCTCTGGAGCAGGCGTCAAGCCGTCGCGGGTGGGACGCGAGCAGTGACCAGGATCGCCTGGTGTCGTGGGTGATGCGGAAGCCAAAAGGTCAAGAAACCGGAGGCACGTTCCAACGCTACTACCACCTGTACAAGGAGGGTGAGCTTGAGGAGGATGTCAAGGCGGTTGGGGGCATCGTTGTAGAGACCGGCTACGAGAAGGATAACTGGTGGGTGGTATGTAGTCGACCGTCGTGAGACCTCATCAACGGTAACTTGCGGCGCAAGGCAAGATCTTATAGGCGTTACGAAAAAAAAAAAAGTTCTGGATACCTTACGCATATGGTTACCAATCTTGAAAGGAATCTTTCACCGACATTTACGCTGCATGTTTCGCTCTTGTCCAACCATGGAAGAGTACTTGACCGTCTTCAGGCTGGTAACATATTCCAGGTATTGCTCAACCAGAGTAACAACGCTAACTGTACATTCCATCTATGTCGATAACTTCTCTATCATATCTTCATATGTGTCTATCAATGGGAAAGGGGTACTAAACAGGGAAAATGCAACCGCTGTACGTCAAACAACACTGTCTCTCTTCTAACTCCGGTTTCCTGAGGTCATCCTTGACCTGGCCCTTCCTGATGCTTCCATAGCCAGGTCTTCAAACAACCAGTATCCAGTGCCATGCAGATGCCTCTGCTGGCCAATGCAAATTGTAATGACATAATAAAAAAGACAATTCAAAGAACCGAAATGAGAAGAAAAAAACACACCAATGGTTTCCCCAACAAGATTTTCTCTACATTAAGTCATGCCCACATTCCATCCTATCCAATCCATCCCAGTCCGTCGTTAAAACCCATATGCTTATGTTCGGTATGCTTCAATCAGACCCGAAGGCAATAGACTAGATTGCCCATAAGTCAAAAGAAAAGAAAAATGCTGTTCTGTTCCTGTCCGTGTAGTTATGCAATCCCATGCTCTTAACACCATCATAATAATTCGTACATTCTTTACCGCACTCAATAACCCGCATGGTCGCCTTATGAGACGAGATGCAAGACAAATGTCCTAGGAGACTCAAGGGTCACCCATCAAGCGCTCATATAGTACAGCTGCCTCAGGCGTGGCAGGTTATGTAATTCGCCGCCGCTGGTTCGCCTCGTGCGGATATTCATCTGGGGAAGCTCTTCGTTTGGACCCGGCCGATTCCATCGAGTAACCAGCGAGTGTCGAATACAGAGGGCCCTGACCTACCCCGGTTATAGGTCCCATATTAGGCACTGCAGCAGGTGTACTATAGGGGCTGACTCCTCCAGTAAGTTCAGCGACTCCAGGAAGCATACCAGCTGTTCGAGGTGGTGGCTGGTTCTGGATCGGGGCCAAACCTGGCCCTGGTACATAATGAGCTTCAGCAGGATCTGGAACCATGGACAAAGGAGGCGGCGGAGGAATCGACTCTCGGCGGGGAACCATAGTGCGGCTGCTGGCAGGCATTGGTGGAGGTCTGTTGTACACAATTCGAGGCGATGGTACTCCAAGATCGCGAGGCATACTGACTTGGGGCTGCGAGTGAATGTGGCTGCGTGAGGGGGAGCTCCTGTGACTGTTGTTTCCCTCGACATTGACTGCAGCTAGAGAGAAAGGGATAACACCTGCACGTCTAGCCATATCTGCCTCACCAAGCTGCCAATGCATGGCTTCTGCTGCTCGCCAGGGCACTGCCATCTCTTCTGCAACTTTTGCCCACATTTCTGGTTTGAATCTGAAGTCCTGTCAGTATGTTTCCTAAAAGTTCAATGGCTTATGCCGCTCTCTTACCTCTCGTAAAGCCTGGCAAGTTTATTCTTGCGCTCTTCGTCCCATTCACTCCGTCTTTCGAGGTAGTTCTGATAGTGTAGGCGGCAGCTGATGGCACTCCGTCCGGGTAGACGCTTTGAGATATCCTCCCACTTCATATTACGTCCTCGAAGCTCGATGATAAGGGCATCTTCCTCCGGTGACCACTTGCTCTGCTTCTTCACGGGTGGCTGATCTGTAGCATGGGGGTGCATGCCGCGTCTTCCAGACATCTGTGTCGAAGCTACCTGCGGTGGTGGCGCCACATGCGCAACAGGCCGTGGTGGAGCTGGCGTGGCCTTGGGAGGAAATGGTTGATAAGTGGGAGCTAGAACTGGCTGGGTCTGATGAAACGGCGAGGAAGGAGGTTCATGAGATCCAGATGCCTTCAGAAGAGCAGCAAAGTCTAACGCGACAGACTGACCATCCAGTCTTCCCGCGTATGGACCGTTAGCATATGAGCGAGGCGTGCGCCCCCGCTCGAGACGGTCTTCTACACCCACGATGGATGGCGGTAACTCTGCCCGCAAGAGGCAGAGTGGAGACTCGCTCTTGAGTTGGGCCAGCTCGGCGACTTTCTCTGGTTGTGTTGGTGAAGAAATGTCTGTTGCAGCGGCTCCTAGAAGCCTGGTGCTGCTTAAAGGCGTTGTATATCTGGTGTCACAAAACCCCTATGTTTCTTTCCACTGTACAGATGGTTGAGTCGGTTGGAGGTGCGTGAACTGTGTCCGTGAGATCGAGGTGAGGTAATTAGTTTGCTCCTTGAAACCTCCGGGAATGAAGTCACTTGTGTTTATGTCGCCCTTAGTGTCTATAAGTCTTGGAGTGTAGTAATGGAGGCCTTCTCGTATTGACTGATGCGTAGTGGTGGGCAGCTGGGTTAGGTATCGACACAGTTGGGCTCTGTCAGGTACCGGGTTGCCACAAAGATGCAAAAAGAGAAAGAACTGTCTCGGGAGGCAACAGTGATGGTTGTTCAGATCATAAAGCGTGGCTCCAAGGCGTTGATGGGCAGATGGCAATGTGATTGGTGACGTCCAGGGTTCTCCCCAGCCAATGGATTCGGATAGGATGATATGGTGAGGCAGAGCAAGTCGTGGGGCGCCAATTGAGGTAAATGAGGCCAAGGTAAGGCTTGTTATCTCAGAAGCTATTATCGAAAGCCGTGGGGAGAGTAGAGAATAGATGAGATGGCAATAGGTAGGAGGCAAAAAGAAGATCTTCGAGGGTCTTTCACTTTGAGTATGTGTGAGAAAACTCGGTCAGATCTTCCGCTGGGCCCCTACTAACGTAGTATAACCTCCAAGAGATGTTACTTATGCGCAGGATATGGACCCACGTTACGGACCGCCTTGCTTCTTCCTGTTCCTATTCTTGTGTTGTTAGTCTTGACCGAGGTCCAGGCGTAGAACTTGAGGTGGATGAGAGCCCAAGCTGAATAAGGCCAAGAAGTGGACTCTGGAAGAATCGAAAAATAAAAGAAAGTTGAGCCCGGAGAATATTATTAGACTCAAGGACCAAAAGAACTTGTCGGGTCGAAAAGAGGCGACGCAGTAACAACGTAACGGTGTGGGGAGAAAGATGCAGTGAGGAAATCAGGGTCTGATTGCATCTCCACGAAACGGTGAACATGGTGCGTCTTAGTAGGAAGCCTGACCTATAATGTACCTATGTGACGAAGAAATGCATCCAGAAGCACGAGCTTGAACGAACAGGATAGTCTAGGAGCAGGCATCGAGGAGCATGGGGAGGGGTGTCGGAGCAATATCGCGATGACAGGGGTACCCGGCGTGTCTATCAACGAAGATGAAGAAGTAAGGTGAGTGAGTGGAGTCGATGCGTTTGATAGTAAGGCAGAGGACATCAACGGGCCGGGGATAAAGGTTGGAGAAGCATCGCATTGCTGGCTATGCGGTTAGTATTAGTCGCTTGGTGTTGGTTCTGTGCTTCCAATGTCTCCATCTTTTCCAAGAGATGCCCAAGGTGAGGAGGACCCAGGGTGAGAACATGAAGATTAAACTGAGAAAGGATGAAGCAGAAAAAGAAAATACAGGTTGAGTCAATACAATGCAGAGCGCATCATGCTCAATGAGCTGGCCCAATACGGAGCTGCAAAGTGAGGTTATCCTGGGTTCGGTCTTCATCAAGTTGTCTTCCGACCAACCCACTGCTACGAAAGAGCCATAACATGGTTTGCCATGCCATGCGATTCCATGCCACTATGGCCTCAGCATCACTGTCGATACGGCCATCCGCAATGACCAAACCGATCTGGCACCTGTCATAGTTGAGACCGGGGTTATAGCTCAACACCATCTTTTGCTGCGCGGATGAACTGCTGTATAACGACGCACACCGCAACGCTCTTGTCTCTCTCTCTCTCTCTCTCTCATCGCCTTGCACAGCCGCGGCCTTGTCTGGCTGGTCCTGTTTTGTCATGACTGACTTGACTTGCCTTGCCTTGCCTTGGCTGAGAGGGGCGTTGGCGTCCAATCTTCGTCTCCAGCTTTGAGGCTAGGTGCGTCGGCTGCACGCCCCCCCTGGCTCTACACCAACTCATCATGGACTCCCCTCTGGTCCACGTTGCTACGATCTTCGCATGGGGGAGTTGCCGGGTCCGGTTTTCTTTGTTCGTCTTTGAGTTGACAAGGGTAGTGAATATTTAACATAGACTCTGAGGGGCTCGAATTACAAAGATCGAGTTTCTTGATTCAATTGTTTTCACGAGATGGTGCAGTTGATGAATCTGGGGCCAAAAAGGGTTCAAAGAAGGTAGTGCCGTGTAGTCTACAACTGTTATCAGTCTAGGACGTGGCCACAATAGAAAGAACAGACTCGGAATAACAGCATCATAATAACCGTGTATAGGTACTCCTCATATAGAATGTTGTCCGCAGAACCTGGAGGGGAAAAAAAAAGAAAAAAAAAGAAAAAAAAAGAAAAAAAAAGTTGAATAAAATCTCTAATTACCTAGGGTGTGCCAGATGCATGCACTTCCAACACCAGATGTCTAGCACTCGATATGAAAAAATGCCACGAAGTTCTGCATAAAATGTCATCGGTACGAACCACGGATGCCAAGAGATCCATCGTCTCGGTCAGAGTGATTCAAAACTATACGCCAGACTGACCCGCCTACAGAAATTTAGTTCCCTTAAAGAACATGAGGCCCTCTGCGTTTTAAGCCACCTGTTTGGGTATGTCTTATGTCTAAGTCTCTGATGCTGTAAGCACGCATGTGAAGGGAGGCCCAAATCTTGGAACTTGTATCTTGGGCACGGATGTCTCGAAGTCTGTCGTTGATGAGGCATAAACCCCCAGACCCCGTCCTCTCGCATATCGGGCTCCCGAAAGTCAAACAAGATGGTAGCGACATGTGAGTCGAGACACCACAGAGACCATTGAATTGACGCCTCAACCGGCGGTATGTCCACTGGCAGTCAAGGGTTCGCAGGAACCACCTAGTTCGAGACAGTTGGCTCAGTCAATCACATCGCAGCATTCCGTGCCTTCGAAGACTGTATGGTTGTGTCCCTTGGGCGAACTATGGTTGGGTATCAAAATTAAGTGGCAAATTGCCTATTGAAGTATGACGGCTTCAGCATATCCTCTAACTAGTACTCCTGGCGTTGATGGATTCACAATATTGATAATGACGAAGTTGGCGTTAAGTAATCGACAAAACTCCATGGGTGCTGGATATTGCGGTACCAGAAACTTACCGCACGATGCCAGCCTCACCCATGTATCACAGCCTGCCCAGCTCAGCACGCTCAGCCAGACAGGCAGGCCTAGGCGCTAACAGCCAACCATCCAGCGTCAGCTTCAGCGTCAGCGCGCACTGCGTAGTGGTCGATGAGGTATGATCGTCCGCGGGGAGCTGAATGCTAGGATCGAGTCTGAACTGTTTGAGAAGAGGTCTGCGCTTGTGCTAATTAAAGTGTAGTGGAGATGATGCCAATGGAAGCTCATCATATTTGCGGCTGCGCTCGGCTCCCTGTACTTCCGTACTACCTTACCTACGGAGTACCTAATTTCATAACGAATGGATTCCAACTGTTGGAATATGTACGGATATCTACCTACCTACCTGTACCTAGGTACTAATGTACTGGAATATGAGCAACGAATTGCAAACATCACATATTAACTTCCATATTGAGTTAGCATTAGTTTTCTGCTTTTTCCTCTGACCATTGAGGTTTCCGATGTTGGTCCTTCCATTTCTTCTGACCGCATTTGTACCTTCCTTGTTACAGGACGGGAAGGCACTAGCCGGCGGCTCTTTATATCGACATGGAGGTCGTCCATCCAACAAGAGGACTTCATATTTCGTTTCATTCCTTTCATTAAAAAAAGTCTGATTATTACAAGTGGCCAAACTCGCCCAATGCATGTTTCAGCGGTGATCCCTTTCGAACATCATCCACAAACCTCTTCTGCTCTTGAGGAGATGACGCGAATACTATTGCGGTTAGAAGAGAACCAGACCGAGATTCCAGAGTGAGTTGACATCTGCCAAACCCCTTGCAAGTCGAACTAACACCAAGTCATGACTGGCAGCTCAGCCCAGTATGATTCGGCCACACCTTCTTTCATCACCGACTCAAGCTTTGCCTCAGTTGGATAATAGCTCAAGCTTCAAGCACAAGCCTAACGACTGTCTGTGCGTTACTCCCGCACCAGACACAAGCGCTTTCAATACATACACGGATGAGCGTTGGTCCACACATGTCACCTGAGCATTTGATCTCGCACGACTGAGCTCTTGTTCAGGATTCCTCTGGTTGTACTCCGTACTGACGTTTGTTTAAATGCTGCTAGTAGACTGATATACAAATCGAGGCCCGGCCCGAGCTATTGATATGACCAGCCGAAACATTCGGCTATGCAATTGGTGGAGCACATTCCACGGTTACATCTGGAGACTTGAGGCTGGTTGTTGGATGTCTGTTACCAGCCACAAGGTTTCCTACTTTTTTTTTTTTTTTTTTTTCCTCCCCTTCACGATGCTCCATCCCGTCTTTCTTCACGGGTCATCGTTTGCTCCACGTAGCTTCCGCTAACAAACGCCCGCCGGGAATATCCTGGGAAGTGGTGAATTATGACGGTGAACTGGCGGTCAGTAAGGAAGGTTCAAGAAAAGAGGCTTGTCTAGAGAGGTGCAACACGGCCAAATACATACCTACCCGGCTCATTGTTGGGGGTTCATACACGTTGGCAACTTACCCTGATATCGATGCTGGGCAGCTAAGAACCAATTCATCGTTGGGTTCAAGGGCTAAGCTTTTAGTACTTACGAGTCGCTGAGCACTTATCATGCGACCGTTTGATGTTCCTCATCAACGTTGCCGTGTCCAGGCACGAGATGATAGGTTGAAGTCTGAGGATATATGCACGCGTGCAAGCTGAACAGGCAACTGAGGCATTGGATGTCAGCAACAGTCTAAGCGATGGACGAACGACTTTACTTTGCATGGCAGGCAAGATAGATTGTTGGAGCATTCGATCCTTTTCCGAAGTTGCGTAGATACGGACACTCAAATGGCTAGTTGACACTTGATCAATCACGAGCACAATTGCACCCACATAAGCTCCATCAATATGAGAGAACGCGCCGTTGAAAATTGGCTTGCATTTTCATTTGGAGTCACCAATCTGATGTGGGGAAGTTGGGCGATGTTAGAGATGGCGTTACACGAAAACCGTTGTTGTTAGTGAGTTTACATGATGTAACAACAGTCTCGAACTGGCCCCGCAGGCCACTCAAGTCGAATATGGTCATCATCATCATCATCATTGCCAATGACAAGATTCATTCCTTCTATGCCCGATGGGCTGAGTGTTGCGATCTTGCAAGTCCTCATAGGTCCTCGTCCTATAGTAAGGCTTAGGTTTCGGGCCCTTCTGAGAGTGCCACGTTGTGTCCCTCCCGCAGCCAGATAACTTCTAGCAAGGATGGGTTTCCACCTCGATGGACGTCGTGAACTTGTGACCGCCACCAGGCCTCCACCTCGATGAAGAATTTTTCCCTTTCTTACTTTCATCTGCAGGAGATTACAATATCATGCTGTCTCTATCGGGCTAAACTGTCGTTCCTCTAGACTCACATCACCGCTGCCAACTCTTTTATATGTTCTTAAGCTACAGGGATGGTGTGGGGACAAGAACTAGATCTACAGTCCAGGATCTTGAGAGGGTATGCTCTGTAGATGCCAGCCATTTCTCAGCATCAGGAACAACGAAGCAATTGGGTGTTCGTGTTCTGCCCTCAAGCGACCGGATATGACGATGACTGGCATGGAGTTCAAGTGTCTGAAACACAACCGAGCCAAAATATTGTCTGATTGGGACAAATCCTCATGGCAAAGTCAATGATAGAGCTTCAGTTAGGCAGCTGATCTATTTCACATTGGTTACTGTCGCTGCCCGAACAAAGCAAATATTTTCCAACCAACCTCGATCATTTCCCTCTCCATTCAATGTTCCGCGCTTTTCTATCGGAGTGAAGAGCCTTTGGAAAGAGAGAGGAAAACATTGGTATTTGGTGGAGGTCCAGCCGCGCTAGTTTCCCTAAATTCTTCCATACACGTTTGGAGAATGATAGATGTGGCATTGCGGGTGCCGTTCGAACAGGCCCTGAAGCCCACTTCCTACGGCGAACCAAGGCCGAGCCCTATGTCAAGTGAGCTGCGGCGCATGTGTATGTCGTTCCTTCAGCCATTAACCAGCCCGTCGGTGGGCTAGCTTACTGCCAAGGCTGGAATGACTGGATGTCTCGAAGGGTCTCTCACACAGCATCGCTGCTAGTGTTCCTGCGGGGACTGGACACGGAAACGGAGTCGGTAAACAGATCCACGAACGGGGATATCCTGGATCTTAGATTCGTCTAGTTTACCCACTAGATTGCTAAAGTCTGAGACCCAATACCCCTCGATGAAGGCAAAAGAATAGGCTAGCTAGGTTTGTCTGTTTGTGCCTGACATATCGAGCACACGATCATGGAAGAATGCGATGAGGATAAGTTGAACAATACCCACGTCCTCTGCGCGCGTCATTTGCTTCGGTTTACTAACAAAATCGAGCGTGCGAAGATTCGATGATTGGATACCTGGCCTAGCTGATGATGGACATGATAGACAGGCGAGATTTGCTACAATATGCACACTCCTCGGTGGACAAACAAGAAGATTGGCCATGTTTGATGACTATAATAGGTGCCAGACAAGTCAAGGTTGTTTCAAGAGATATCTTGAATTGGAAACAGAGCCAGGCACCAGGCCAAATACAGTGAACAGCTCCTCTAATAGAAATCATGTCTTCTAAATCAACCCCACTCCAACGACTAACCTGATCGTTGTGTTTTTTTTTAGCGGTGAGCCGCCCGTTATGTACCATAGATACTCAAATTTTGAGATCGAGCCTTGGGCAAGGTTTGT